TTCTTTGCCAACACAACTCAAAAGCATCAACTCTTCTTCAGTCTTTCTTGTTTACTGTCCAGTTCTCACACGCATATGAGGTGACTGAAAATACCATGGCTTGGATTTGTTGTTATTGTTATGTGCCATTGAGTCAGCCCTGACTCATAGCGACCCCTCCTTGGGTTGCCAAGGCAGTATCACTACGGAAGTAGATTGCCCAGTCTTCCTTCCGAGGAGTGGCTGGTGGGTTTGAACCGCCAGCCTTCTGGTTAGCAGCCAAGTGCCTTAGGCACTATGCTACCAGAGCTCCTATGGCTTGGATTAGGCACACTTTAGTCTTCAAGGAGACATCTTTGCTCTTCAGCAGTTTAAAGAGGCCTTTTGCAGAAGATCTGCCAAGTGCAATACATCATCTGATGTCTGGACTGCTGCTTCCATTGGTGTTGATTGTGAACCAAGTAACATGAAATCTTTAACAACTTCAATCTTTCCTCCATTTATCATGATGCTGCTTATAGATCCACTTGTGAGGATTTTCGTTTTCTGTATGTTGAAATGCAATGCATACTACAGCTGAAGTCTTTAATTTCCATCAGTGTTTCAAGTCATCCTCACTTTCAGCAAGCAAAGTTGTGTTGTCTGCGCATCATACGTTGTTAATGAGTCTTCCTACAATGCTGATGCCACGCTCTCCTTCATATAGTCCAGTTTCTCTGATTATTTGCTCAGCATACCGATTGAGTAAGTATGGTGAGAAGATATAAAACCCTGATGCACTCCCTTCCTGATTTTAAACTATGTAGTATGCCCTTGTTCTGTTCGAACAATGGCCTCCTAGTCTATGTATAGGTTCCTCATGAGGACAATTAAGTGTCTGGAATTCCCATTGTTCTCAATGTTACCCATAATTTGTTATGATCCACACAATAAAATGCTTCTGCATAGTCAATAAAACACAAGTAAGTATCTTTCTGGTATTTTTTGCTTTCAGCCAAGATCCATCTGACATCAGCAATGATATCCCTCATTCCACAGCCTCTTCTGAATCTAGCTTGCATTTCTGGAAGTTCTCTGTCAATATACTGCTACAACTGTTTTTGAATTATCTTCAGTAAGATTTTATTTGTGTGTGATATTGATATTGTTCGATAATATCCACATTCTGTGGGATGACTTTTCTTTGGAATGGGTTCAAATACAGATCTCTTCCAGTAAGTTGGCCAGGTAGCTGTTCTTCCAAATTTAGGCATAGACAAGTGAGTGCCTCCAGTGCAGCATCCATTTGTTGAAACATCTCAATGGGTATACCATCAATTCCTGGAGCCTCATTCTTTGCCAATTACTTCAGTGCAGCTTCGACTTCTTCCTTCAGTACCATTGCTTCTTGATCATATGCCACCTCCTGAAATGGATGAACATCAATCAGTTCATCTCGGTACAGTGACTCTGTGTGCTCCTTCCATCTCCTTTTTGATGCTTCCTGCATCATTCACTATTTTGTGCATGTTGTTATTGTGGTTGTTATGTGCCGTCGAGTAGGACCTGACTCAAAGCAACCCCTCCTTGGGTTTCCAAGGCAGTATCACTATGGAAGTACATTGCCCAACCTTCCTTCTGAGGAGTGGCTGGTGGATTTGAACCACCAGCCTTCTGGTTAGCAGTCAAGTACCTTAGGCACTATGCTACCAGAGCTCCTTAGAATCTGTTAATATTGCAACTCGAGGTTTAAATTTTTTCCTCAGTTCTTTAAGCTTAAGAAATGCTGAGCATGTTCTTCCCTTTTGGTTTTTTAACTCTAAGTATTTGCACATTTCATTGTGGTAACTGACTTTGTATTCTCGAGCTACTCTTTGAAATCTTCTGTTCAGCTCTTTTATCTTGTCATTTCTTCCATTTGCTTTAGCCATTCTCCATTCAAGGGCAAGTTTCAGAATCTCTTCTGACATCCATTTTGGATGGTTTCTTTCCTGTCTCTTTAGTGACTTTTACTTTCTTCATGGATGATGTTCTTGATGTCATTCCACAATTTTTCTGGTTTTCGGTCAGTGGTGTTCAATGCATTAAATCTATCCTTTAGATGGTCTCTAAATTCAGGAGGGATATAATCAAGGTCATATTTTGGCTCTCATGGACTTGTTTTAATCATCTTCAGCTTCAACTTGAACTTGCATATGAGCAACTGATGGTCTGTTCCACAGACAGCTCCTGGCCTTGTTTTGGCTCAAGATACTGAGCTTCTTCATTGCCTCTTTCCACAGATGTAGTCAATCTGATTCCTGTGTACTCCATCTGAATAAAGTTAGGCAAAATAATCTCTTTATAGTAAAAGCAAGAATAAGAAAAAATAACACCTAATAAGCTCCTTGATTAATAACTAAGTGAACCAAAACAAGAGCTAAAGGCCCGTGTTCATATAGATTATGTGAAAAGGAGTATCGTGGTGTGTCTCTCACAGTGATGGTAAGGTCCTGCCTTCATATATTCACATCTATTCTACTTTTTCATAAACCTGGAATTTTGTGTCCATTTTTAAAACTGAAGCACACTTCACCAAAATACTTGCTCCTTTTAAATTATCAACCTCAAAAGAAAAACCTTTCTTTTCTCTAAACTCTTATTAAATGCTTAATATTTTTAATCTTTAATTAAATCTTCAGTAAATATAATATTCATTCTTTAAAGGTGAACATTCTGCCTTTCTAAAACTTCATGTTTTATTATTTTAAAAGTTCCTTTTCTTCCATTCTAAGATTTGGTGGACAAGTTCATGTCCAATCTACCTATATATTTTGTGACTTTATACAACTCAACTGTGTAGCTCCAGAGCCTTCATCTTATCATATTCAAAACTCATAATGTTTAAAATACAGATTATTTTCTTCGTCTTTAGATCACTTGTAATATAATAATAGAAAGTGTGGGATTTTGTCTTTTGGGTCCAGTCTCTGTCATTTGTTAATGAGGGACTTCTGTCTAGTTAATGCTTTGAATCTCAGCTTCTCTGGAAAAAGGGGATGTAACACCAAACTCTCTAAGATTGTCAATAGTATATGTGAAAACTATAACACATTGGATATTACTACTTACAGCTGTGTAGAATAACTTCTTTCAATTTTCCTGAAATACAAAACCAAATTTCACTCACTAAGACACCACTAGAGAATGATACTATTTGGATATTATTCTAACCTTTTTGTGTTGTTTCCAATACCATCTCGGTTACAGTCATCACTTACTTTGCTTCTCTTTCATAAAATCAGTCCCCTATACAATCTAGCCCAGAACTACATATTTAAATATTACTTGAATAAATGATTAAGTAAATGAACAAGAGAAATAAACTGGTAAATTCCAGCAGTGTGGAGGTGATTTGTAGTTAAAATAGAGCCAGTAGTTCATGGTGATGAGGAATACAGAACTGAAAAAAGCTGACTGTCAAAACTAATCAGAAGTGAAAATCTAATTTAATGCCTAAATGACCATTGTTCTTTATGAGATTTGAAGAATAAAGTGAATAGAGGATTTGTGATTATAAAGAATAAATTCATGGTTTAGTGGAAGAAGAAAGGAAGAAAATGGCAAGATTCTTACACAACAAGAAGGTCCAGATTCATAAACTGACCAACAGAATTAACAGTATACAGTATTTAGGCCCAGGATAGGCATGTATTCATGCTGCTAATGTAAAAACAGTAAAGAAAGGTAACAAATTCAATGTATCTGGTTATAAAAATGAATATTCTAGTCATTAAAAAATTCAGGAAAGACAGGAATAGGAAAAAACTACATGAGCTGAGAATTAACAGAGTGATTCCATAATGAAATGAGCTCTATCATGAAACAAAGAGCTTTCAGTTACTAGAGTTACATATTAGGAACACTGAAAAATTAAAAAAAAGTAAAAATCTCTGAATTGAGTGGAAGATTAATGGACTAACTTCAAAGGTCTTTTCCATTTATAAGATTTCACATACTTCTATTTAATGTTACATATAGCCCTATTATTCCAAGCTATTATTTTTAAAACAATAAAAACGACAAATCCCAAGGATTTGTTATCCAGTAACAAAAAGAAGTTAGGGGTAGGACGGGGGGTTTTGTTTCTTACCAGATCACAACAACTCCACCCACTCATCCTAACAGTTTGCAAATGAGAATGGTATTTTTAAAGAGTATTTGAAATGTTTAGCAGTTCACTTAAAGTCCTACTTACCTAACTAAATATATTACAAGTATCTGATAATATTCCAGGATACCATTTAAGTAACTGATTCATTTTCAATTCCAGTTTTACATCCTGGTCTTAATTCACTTCCCCATCCGTGGCCAGCTGCATAACTGGCAATGATAAGTGGGTTGAAAGTAGGAGGCAGAAGTAATAACAAAAGTAAGAATACAGAATAGCCAAAGGCCAAAAGAAGAAAATGATCATGAGACCAAAAAATTACACTTCTAACTATTATACAAAACACTCTGGATTACAGAATTAGATAAAAGAATTTCCACTGCAGTTTTTAATTTCTGTGTCTAATGGGTTGTATGAAGACTATGAGTCACTGTCACTGTTAGGAGTGGGAGCTAGTAAAAGGTTACATTAAATAAAAATATATTTGATGAGAGAAAGGAGTAAAAGTTTAAAAGAGGAGGGGATAGGCAGGGATGAAGAGGCCACAGCTAAAAAGATCAGAATCTAAACCTACAGGGTTGATATTTAGAATTCAGCTCATTTGCCAGGGTATTAAAAAAATATTTATAAATGAAGAAAGGAAATATGGAATTCACAAATGATACCATGAATTATAATAATAAAAAGTAAGAGATTCTCCTCTTCACCAAAGTAATAATTAGAGTAGAATTTAATCTGTAAATTATCATAGCTATATATTAAAATACTGAGACAGTAGCTTATTAGTAATGTATGGCATTTAACTGAATATTGGGGTCTAATATTGCCATATTCTTATTTGTCTCAATTAGATATTCATTATTCAGCTAAAACCCAAATAGTTTATTCCTACCTCTCTGAAGAGTGCACCATAAAACTGAACAATATATGGGCAATCACTACTCCGCATTACTACATCCAAATCCATAAGAAGTTGTTTTTGTTCTTTTTCATCCACTGTTGACCGAATTCTCTGGAAAAGAATGACAAAAGATGTCATCAAAAACATAAAGCACTTTAGAAATCTGAGACAAACTTCTATCACAAGACTGAAAATTACCAACCTTACTTCACAAATACCAACTGAATATGAAAATTATCATCTTTCCTCTTACAAGAACAATTTTCATCACAAAAAAGCTGAACAAAATAGCACTTAGAAATTCTTTACATGGTATAGAGATTTAATCCATAAGCATTCACTGATGGTGTTGAGATTTATGCAACAAAGTTGTTGGGCAGTGAAACTTACCCACTACATGCAAACAGAAAACTAAGTTAAGACAATCATAATGAGATGAGAATAATAAATAGTTTTCATAGGAATAATTATAAGTAGCTTCATATTACTCTTAATCACCAGTCCACTTCTCCCTCTCATTCCACAGCATCCTCATTCATTAGGGATGGAAAATTGTCCAGAGCAGGTTAAAGTGACAACTAGTGTAAGGGCAGTGCACTGGAACTCTAACCCTTTATCATACTTTCTATAAGTTAAGCACAAAAAAGTTCTACCTGACTCTACAATTCATGAGTCAGAATTCAGGGCAGCATAAACCTGTGGAAGAAAATCTAAAAGTGAGGAAATAGAGGGTTCTCTGTCCATTCTTGACTTGATGAGGCCCTCCTCCACAAACTGCAGTCCGGGGGTACATCCCTAACACACCCTATACAACAATTCTTCTACATATTTCTAAAAGACTGTCAGAAACATTATGAGACCCCATCTCCTACACAGAAGTAGTAAGGTCCAGAGAGTTCCAACTACACTAGAAATATGAGAAGGAATGAAGCTAAGAAATTGTAAAATATATTTAAATGAAATTATAGCTCAACATCAATGCATGCAAACAACTTTTGTTCTCATAAAAAAGTTCACAATCTCACACTGCACCACTGTATACAATACATAGCATACTTACAAGGCAAGTTAGTATCAAAAAATACTTAAGATGTAATTTTGTCTTCCAAAGACTTGAAGTATCTGTCCTAAATGTTCTTGAAAAGGATGAAGGAAGTCGATTAAATTCTTAAGCCCATTTTACAGAAAAGAAACCAGAAGCACAGACAGATAAAAAAGATGTATTCCATGTGACATGAGAATAAGCAGTTGTTTAAGGAATAGAAGTAAATTCTCTTAGTTTCATTTTTTGACATTAATTGAGGAATCCCATATGTACCAAATACAAGCAAATTTAATTTTAGTACTTAAAATGTATATCCTGCAAGCTATAGCATTTCATACCAAATGAAATATATTAAACTGATACCTATTCTTGTACATGCCAATTTAAAACTTTTACATTAACTAGTACTGCCCTGATAAAAAAGAAAAAAATGGAAAATAGAACCAGTACTTTTAAAGCTATTAACATATCCTTTCTCTCTCTCATTTCTACATTTTCATAGGAGCTCTGCTAGCATAGTGCCTAAGGCATCTGATTGCTAACCAGAAGGCTGGTGGTTCAAACCCATCAGCCACTCCTCGGAGAGAAGATTAGGTAACCTACTTCTGTAGTGATACCACCTCAGAAACCAAGGAGGGGTTGCTGTGAGTCAGGCTGACTCGACAGCACATAACAACAACATTTTCATAGTTTGGGGAATAATAACATAGTTTTTAATTAACATCAAATAATCTTTGGACTAGAAAGATTATTTTTCAAAATAGCCCAGATATGTAATGTGGGGGGTTTTTTTACACAAATAACACATGCTATGTTTTTTCCAAACCACGGAGGCCCATGCACATTCGTTTCATATGAGCACTATTCAGCGATCACATTATTTGCATGGATGAATTGTATACAGACATTATAGTAATTTACATTTATTCAAAATAGGACATTGGTTATTTTGATAAACACTTTAGTTACTTTTAATCCTGGTTTAAAAATATAACTTTAAAAAGAACCTATGAAAATTCTAATATAGGAGAATGATTGTTCTTAAAAGGATGTTAATAATCTCATATACTTAATTTTAAGACAATAAAGAGTTGTTAATTAGAGACAACAAAGGAAGGAAAATTAAATTACTCTTTGGTTAGGAAAGATTTCTACCTCTTACGAACTCTCAACATGAAAGGTTTTGAAAATGCATTGTTTTTCCCTACTCATACTTATGTGAATGTATTGCCAAGTATGCATACATTAATACACACATACACTTATAAAAACCTATTTTAAAAGACGCCTTGTTTACTGGTTTATTTTTTTGTTTCCTTAAATTGGTTATGCAACCACTCATCTGTCAGTGTGTTATACTGTAGTGGCTTGAGTACTGCTGTGACACTGGAAGTTATGTCACTGGTATTTCAAACACCAGCAGGGTCATCCATGGTGGATGGGTTTCAGCAGAGGTTCCAGACTAAGACCAGGAAGAAGGACGTGGCTAGGACCACTTCTGAAAAACACTGGCCACTGAAAACCTTACGAATGCCAGTTAAACACTGTCTGATATACTGCCAGAAGGTGAGTCGCTCAGATTGGAAGGCACTGAAAAATATGAAGAGCTGCTTCTTCAAAGAACAGTTGACTTTAATGATGTGGATGGAGTAAAGCTTCTGGGACCTGCATTTGCTGATGTGGCATGACTCGAAATGACAAGAGCTGCAAACATCCATTAATAATTGTAATAGGGAATGTACAGTGTGAGTTCAGAAAACTGGAAGTTGACAAAAATGAAATGGAACACATAAAGATCGATATTCTACGCATTAGTGAGCTGAAATAGACTGGGATTGGTCATTTTGTATTGGACAATCATATGGTCTACTAACTAATAATTAATGCATGCCCTTGAACATATCCCTCCTGAAATTAGAGACCTAAAAAATAGACGTAATGCATTGAACACCAGTGACTGAAAACCAGAGGAATTGTGGAATAATATCAAGAACATTATGCATGAAGAAAGAAAAGGTCATTAAAAAGAAAGGAAAGAAACAAAAGACCAAAATGGATGTCAGAAGAGACTCTGAAACTTGCCCTTGAATGGAGAGCAGCTAAAGCAAATGGAAGAAATGACAAGGTAAAAGAATTGAACAGATAATTTCAAAGAGCAGCTCGAAAAGACAAAGTCAATTATTGCAAAGACCTGGAGTTAGGAAATCAAAAGGGAAGGAGATGCTCAGCATTTCTCAAGCTGAAATAACTGAAGAAAAAATTGAACCCTCAAATTGCAATACTGAAAGATTCTATGGGCAAAATATTGAATGATGCAAGAAACATCAAAAGGAGATGGAGGGAAAACACAGAGTCACTGTACCAAAAAGAATTGGTCGATGTTCATCCATTTCAGGAAGAAGTATATGATCAAGAACCAGTGGAAGTTGAAGCTGCATTGAAGGAAGTGGTGAAAAAACAAGGCTGTAGGAATTGATGAAATACCCATTGAGATGTTTCAGTAGACGGATGCCACACCTGAGGCACTCACTTGACTATGCCAGGAGATTTGGAAGGCAGCTACCTGGCCAACTGACTGGAAGAAATCCATATTTGAACCCATTCCAAAGAAAGGTGATCAAACAGAATGTGGAAATTATCGAAAAATATCATTAATACCACACACAAGTAAAATCTTACTAAAGAAAATTCAAAAATGGTTGCAGCAGTACATTGACACAGAACTTCCAGAAATGCAAGCTGGATCCAGAAGAGGACATGGAACGAGGGATATCATAGCTGCTGTCAGAAAGATCTTGGCTGAAAGCAAAGAATACCAGAAAGATGTTTACTTGTGTTTTATTAAGTATGCAAAAGCATTTGACTGTGTGGATCATAACGAACTATGGGTAACACTGAGAAGAAGGGGAATTCTAGAACACGTAATTGTACTCATGAGGAACCTGTACACTGACCAGGAGGCTGCCGTTCGAATAGAACAAGACGACACTGCATGATAAAAAATCAAGAAGAGAGCGTGTCAGGGTTGTATCTTTTCACGGTACTTTATTAAATCTATATGCTGAGCAAATAATCCAAGAAGCTGGACTATATGAAGAAGAACGTGGCATCAGGATGAAGAAAGAATCATTAACAACCTGTGATACACTGACGACACAACTTTGCTTGCTGAAAGTGAGGAGGACTTGAAGCACTTACTGATGAAGACTGAAGAATACAGTCTATAGTATGGATTACATTTCAATATGAAGAAAAAATCCCTCACAACTGGACCTACAAGCAGCATCATGATAAATGGAGAAAAGACTGAAGTTGTCAGACTTTATATTGCTTGGTTCTACAATCGATGCCAAATGGAAGCAGCAGTCAGGGCATCAGACAACATATATCACTGGGCAAATCAGCCACCAAGTACCTCTTTCAAGCACTGAAGAGCAAAGATATCTCCTTGAGGACTAAGATGTGCCTGGCACAAGCCATGGTATCTTCAATCACGTTATATGCATATGAGAGCTGGACAATGAATAAGGAACACCAAAGGAGAAATGATGCTTTTGAGTTGTGGTGTTGGCAAAGAACACTGAAAGTAACACAGATTGCTAAAAGAACTAATAAATCTGTCCTGGAACAAGTGCAGGCAGAATGCTCCTTGGAACCAAGAATGGGCAGGCTTCGTCTCACCTACTTTGGTCATGATGTCAGAGGGACCATTCCCTCGAGAAGGATGTCACGCTGGGTAAGGTGCACGGTCAACAGGAATGGGGAACTCCTCAATGAGATGGATTGCCACAGTGACTGTGGCGATGGGCTCAAGTATAGCACAGATTGTGGAACTGGCATGGAACCAGGCAGTGTTTCATTCTGCTGTGCACAGGATCATAACAAATTACGGATAATACTGTGAAAAATGGGAATTCTATAACATTTAATTGTGCTCATGGGGAACCGTTACATAGACCAAGAGGCAGTTATTCCTAAAGAAAAAGGGGAAAACTGTGTGGGTAAAAATTTAGAAAGCTGTGTATCAGGGTTGTATCCTTTCACCATTTCACCATACTTATTCAAT